TTGTGCAGCCTGAGAAACAAGAGTGAAACTCCGTCTCAAAAAAAATAAAAAAGCTATGGTGGCTGGGTGCGGTGGCTCACGCCTGTAATCCCAATACTTTGGGAGGATCACTTGAGGTCAAGATCACTTGAGGTCAGGAGTTGGAGACCAGCCTGGTCAACATGGCGAAACCCCGTCTCTACTAAAAACACAAAAATTAGCCAGGCATAGTGGTGCACACCTGTAAGCCCGGCTACTCGGGAGGCTGAGGCACAAGAATGGCTTGAACCCAGGAGGTGGAGGTTGCAGTGAGCTGAGATCAAGCAACTGTACTCCAGCCTAGGTAACAGAGACTCAGTCTTAAAAAAAAAAAAAAAAGCTATAGTAATCAAGACAGTGTGGGATTGGTGAAAGAACAGACAAATATATAAATGGAACAAAACAGAGAGCTCAGAAATAGACCTACATAAATATTGTCAACTGATCTTTGATGAAAGAGCAAAGGCAATATAATGGAGAAAAGGTAGTCTTTCAACAAATGGTGCTGGAATAACTGCACCTCCACATGCTCAGAATGAAGCTGGATGCCCATCTTACTCCATATACACATATTAACTCAAAATGATCAAAGACCAGCCAGGCACAGTGGCTCATGCCTGTAATCTCAGCGTTTTGGGAGGCCAAGGCAGGTGGATCACTTGAAGTCAGGAGTTTGAGACTAGCCTGACGAACATGGTGAAACTCTGTCTTTACTAAAAATACAAAAATTAGCCAGGCGTGGTGGCACACACCTGTAATCTCAGCTACTAAAGAGGCTGAGGCAGGAGAATTGCTTGAACCCAGGAGCTGGAGGTTGTAGTGGGCCAAGATCATGTCACTGCACTTGAGCTTGGGCAACAGAGCAAGACTCTGGACTCTGTCTCAAAAATAAATAAATAAATAAATAAATAAAATACCAAATACCTAAATATAAGAGCAAAAACTAAAATCATTAGGAGACAATACAGGGGTAAATTTCATGACCTCAGATTTGGCAATGGACTCTTCTTTTTTTTTTTTTTTTGAGACAGGATCTGGCTGTGTCAATCAGACTGAAAGGCAGTGGTGCAATCACAGCTCACTGTAGCCTTGACCTCCTGGGCTCTAGCAATCCTCCCACCTCAGCCACCCAAGTAGCTAGAACCACAGATACATGCCACCACATCCAGTTAATATTTTTTTTCCCCTTAGAAATGAGGTCTCACTATATTGCCCTGGCTAGTCTCAAATTTCTGGGCTCAAGTGATCCTCCTGCCTCAGCCTCCCAAAGTGCTGAGATTACAGAAGTGAGCCACTGCACCTGGCCAATGGATTCTTAGATATGACATCAGAAGCAGAGGCAATAACAAACAAAAAACATAAACTGATTTGGGAAGCCAAGGCAGGCGGATCATGAGGTCGAGAGTTCAAGACCAGCCTGGCCAACATGGTGAAACCCCATCTCTACTAAAAATACAAAAAATTAGCCAGGTGTAGTGGCGGGCACCTGTAATCCCAGCTGCTCAGGAGGCTGAGGCAGGAGAATTACTTGTAGCCAGGAGGTAGAAGTTGCAGTGAGCCGAGACCATGCCACTGCACTCCAGCCTGGGCAACAGACCGAGACTCCGTCTCAAAAAAAAAAAAAAAAAAAAAGATAAATTGAACTTTGCCAATATTGAAACCTGTTAGTGTGAAAGAACACTATCAAGACAGTGAAAAGACAATCTGCAGAAAGAGAGAAAATATCTGCAAATCATGTATCTAACAAGGGTTTAGTATGTAGAATATATAAAGAATGCTTATAACTCAACAAAAAGACAACCCAATTATTAAAAGGGCAAAGGGTGTTAACAGGCATTTCTCCAAATATATACAAATGGCCAAAAAGCACATAAAAATATACTCAACAGCTGGGCATGGTGGCGCATACTTGTAATCCCAGCTACTCAGGAGGTTGAAGCAGGAGAATCGCTTAAACCTGGGAGGCAGAGGTTGCAGTGAGCTGAGATTGTGCCACTGCACTCCAGCCTAGGCAACAGAGCAAGACTCTGTCTCAAAAAAAAAAAAAAAAATATATATATATATATAAAAAAATATATATATACACACACGCGCATATATATACACACACATATACGTGTATATACATATATACACACATATATGTACCTATATATACATACACATATATACGTATATACTCAACAGGCTGAGGAAGAAGGATTGATTGAGCCCAAGAGTTTGAGCCCAGCCTGAGCAACATAGTGAGACCCTGTCTCATTAAAATAGAAAAAGATACTCAACATCATCAATCATTAGGGAAAATGCAAATGAAAACCACAATAAGGTACCATTTCACACCCACTAGGATGATTATAATGAAAAAAATCAGAGAATTAAGTGTCAGTGAGGATGCAGAGAAGTTGGAACCCTCATACTCTGCTGGTGGGAATGTAAAATGGGCAGCTGCAGTGGAAAAGAGACTGGTAGTTCCTCAAAACATAAACGAAACTGCCATATGACCCAGCAATTCCAATCCTAATATATATCCACAAGAAATGAAAAATGAAAATTTATGCCCACACAAAAACTAATCCATGAATGATCATAGGAGTACTATTCATAATAGCCAAAAGGTTAAAAAAAAAAAAGTGTCCATCAACAGATGAATGGATAAACAAACCAGCATACACATACAATGCAACATTACTCAGCCATCAAAAGGACTGAGGTACTGGCCAACCGCGGTGGCTCACGCCTGTAATCCCAGCACTCTGCGAGGTTGAGGTGGGCAGATGATGAGGTCAGGAGTTCAAGATCAGCCTGACTAACATGGTGAAACCCCATCTCTACTAAAAATACAAAAATTACCCAGGTGTGGTGGCATGCACCTGTAATTCCAGCTACTTGGGAGGCTGAGGCAGGAGAATCGCTTGAACCCAGGAGGTTGCAGTGAGCTGAGATCGCACCACTGCACTCCAGTTTGGGCAACAGAGCAAGACTCTGTCTCGAACAACAACAATAACTCTGTCTCGAACAAAAACAAAAACCACTGAGATACTACATGCTACACCACAGATGAACCTTGAAAACTGCTAAGTGAAAGAAACCAGACACAAAAGGCCACATAGTGTGGCTGCCAAGGGACAGAAGGTGAAGGGATAAGGAATGATTGCTGAATGGGTACTAGGTGTTTTTCTGGGATGACAAAAATGTTCTGAAAATAGAGCTAAGTGGTGGTTACACAACATTGCGAATGCACTAAATGCCAGTGAATTCTATACTTTAAAATGATTGTTTGTGTATTATGTGATTTTTCATCTAAATTTTTTTAAAGCATGTATATCAGAGAAAAATTACCAAGTAAAGTTAATTCAGCCTTTGAACAAATGTTTGAAAAAGTTATTTGAAATGTTTACCTTCTAAAATTGAATCTGTTTCTTACAATTTAATCAAATGGACAAGAGGAGACCAGGTGATACAACTTCTTGAAGGACACGTGGGTGAACACAGGCCTGGCTGGGTTGGGAAAGTCAGCCACAAGAACACAGCCATGTAATGGTTTTATCTCAAATGCCCATTTATTTTATTTAATATACTAAGTCTACATATTAAAGTGCTATTCTTAATTTATAATATCCAATGACCTATGAGAAATACTTTTGAAATCAATAGCTTACTGTATGCAAGTTCTCCTCCATCCTTCAATACTGCTAGCCCACGGGCCCAGGATGGAGGGACCCTACACTTTCTTTCATTCCACAGGACTCAACAACAATCCAGCGAACAAAGGTATTCAACTGAAAAATAACTTTAAAAGGGCTTTTTTAGAAAAAAGGCTTTATTCCTACAAGTGATTTTGTTCTTTCCCTCTCCAATTGAGTGGCTTCTCCACAAAATACTGGTATATGAAATCCTCTCACCAATATACAATTTTAAGTATGCATTAGTGACACATCAGTTACTCCAGGTTACGTGTAACTCACTCTACTGACTCTCAAGGCTGCCCCTTTGGTACACCTCAGGTTGTATCAATTTTGCCAAATGTCACCTTTAACATATACAAATAACTGACCTCTCAGATGGATAAAATTCTGTTAATCAATTTCTGAGTTCCTCAAATAAGGGGCAGTAAACAACTACAAAGTTGTCTGCTAGTACTGTAAATATTCACCAGTACTGTAAATGCCAGACTCAAAGATTAACATGTGATTGTCAATCTGGGTCTGGGGAAAACACTAGATCGCATTCCCCAGACCTGGATTGCTTTGGTCAAGAAATATGATTGAGGTCAGGCGCGGTGGCTCATGCCTATAATCCCAGCACTTTGGGAAGCTAAGGCGGGTGGGAGCCTCAGTAGTTCAAGACCGGCCTGGATAACATGGCAAAACTCTGTTTCTACTATTAAAAATAAAAATAAAAATAAAAATAAGAACAAGGCCTGGTGTGGTGGCTCACGCCTGTAATCCCAGCACTATGGGAGGCTGAGGCGGGTGGATCACCTGAAGTCAGGAGTTTGAGACCAGCCTGACCAACATGGTGAAACCCCATCTCTACTAAAAATACAAACATTAGCCAGGCATGGTGGTGCACGCCTGTAATCCCAGCTACTTGGGAGGCTGAGGCAGGAGAATCACTTGAATCCAGGAGGTGGAGGTTGTGGTGAGCCGAGATCACGCCACTGCACTCCAGCTCGGGCAACAAGAGCAAAACTGCATCTCAAAAGATAAATAAAAATAATAAAAAGAAATAAAATAAAGTGTAAGTAGAAGATAACTTAAGAAATATATCTGCCAATTATACAGCGGGATTGGAAAAAAGAAGAGAGTAAATTAAAATGTTTACTTAATAAATGGAGTTGACAGAACAATCTTAAAACACATTGAAGAAAAATAAGAGATATCACTGGGAACCACTGAAGTTCAAACTAGAATGCCTGGAACTCATCAGGGATACAATCCTTAGAAGTAGATCCAGAAAGAGGTTGTGAGATTCCCACCTACCTCTTCGCCGATGCTGGAGACTTGGCCACGATTACTGCATTCCTGTAATCTGGGATCTGTGACAGACAAGAAGTCAGATATTACTGCATGTCAACAAAAAGGAAAATTCCAACAGACCCAAAAATGCTTGGTTAGTTGAAAGTTTTCTAAAAAAAGAAAAAGTTCAAAGTAAAATTCTTCTTTGGAAAACGAAGAAAGGAACCTGTCTACGAAAAAATATTACTAACGTGTGAGCCACACAGACTTCTTTTAGGAAAAAAGCAGGGATAATTGGTGATTAGCTCATATCTCTGCCAGCAAATACTAATAATGCAGTGTAAAGATGTTTCTATGTATCTAGTCAATAAGATTCCTAATTACATGCAATTTCAAAGTACAAGGATATCCAGCTCGATCTGAGTACAAGCTGTCAAATTCCAAATTAGTGCAGTCCAAACAAATGGCTATTTAACATATCGCAGTCATAACATGTTGAAGCAACCAATTTGTTAAAGGATAATCAGCCCAGCACTATTTTAAAAAAATATATTAACTATATTCTCATTGTTTTGTTTTCAATTACACCAGTGAATTTTAATATGAGCAGTTAATAACATCTAGCACCATGTATAAAACAATGCCTACCATATAACAAGCACTGAATAATAACTACTTAGCAAATGAACAAAAAAATGATTAATTTGAATAATCTAGTACAGTTGCAGCCGGCATAATCACATGTCTCAGCTGTATCTACAGGAAAGCCTAATTTATCCAACACTCTCAGGAAGTAAGGCAGTAAAATATATTTCCATTTGGGCACTTTCATTATTTTTGCTGGCAGTCTTTCTAAACTTTTTCATGTACTTCCTTGTCTCATCAAACATTACCAAACCCAGTCAAGGAAAGATAGAACCAAGAAAACAGTTAATAATAATTAAAGGACCTAAAAGAAAAGACTCTAACAAAAACAAGTCTACTGTCTCTACAGAGGTTAAAACGGAAAATTATATACAACAAGAAAGAACAAGTTATTATGAAAAAGAACCACAAATAAATCTAGGAGGAGGAAGTTATTATGGTCTAAAGAAACCCAGTAGCTGGCTGGCTTAACAGTAGAATAAACACAACTGTAAGAACAAACCAGGGAAGACCAAGCCAAGGAATTTCCCCAGAATGCTATATATAAGTATGCAAAAAGTAAAATAAGTTTTTAAAAGTTATAGAGACTAGATCCAAAATTTTCAGGACTTAATAGTTCCCAAAGGAAAATAATAAAAGAAATAGAAGGGATGAAATACTTAACAGATTCAAAAAAAATTCCCAAAGACGGCCAGGCGTGGTGGCTCATGCCCATAATCCCAGCACTTTGGGAGGCCAAGGCGGGCAGAACATCTGAGCCAAGACCAGCGTGGCCAGCATGGTGAAACCCCCTCTCTACTAAAAATGCAAAACAAAATTAGCCAGGCGTGGTGGTGCACACTTGTAATCCAGCTACTCAGGAGGCTGAGGCAGGAGAATCGTTTGAACCATTTAAAATGTCTCCAGAAAGAATTACTATGATTCTTTTCATTAAATTTTTCACTAAAATGAAAAATTATCAAGTCGGGCATGGTGGCTCACACTTGTAATCTCAGCACTCTGGGAGGCTGAGGTGGGTGGATGACCTGAGGTCAGGAGTTCAAGACCAGCCTGACCAACATGGAGAAACCCCCTCTCTACTACAAATACAAAATTAGCCGGGCATGGTGACCCATGCCTGTAATCCCAGCTACTCGGGAGGCTGAGGCAGGAGAATCGCTTGAACCTGGGAGGCAGAGGTTGTGGTGAGCCGAGATCGTGCCATTGCACTCCAGCCTGGGTAAAAAGAGCAAAACTCTGTCTCAAAAAAAAGAAAAGAAAAATTATCGTATATGCAGAAAGACACAGGAAGGAACCATCAGGGTGTAATTTGATATTCATGAATCAAATATTTATCACTGGAAAAATGATACAATTCCACATTTTCTTGCAAGGAATAATCAAATGCTTTATGAAACTTAAGAAAGGAAGATCCCTACCAGTAGGTGAAACTGTGAAAAGGACTGAACTGGAAAAGGACTGCCTGACACATCCCCAGCAATGCAGCGGAAGGCAGCAGACACTGACAGATGCCCTCAGAATAGATGGCAAAAGTTGGCCAGGCGCGGTGGCTCACACCTATAATCCCAGCACTTTGGGAGGCCGAGGCAGGCGATCACTAGGTCAGGAGACTGAGACCATCCTGGCTAACACGGTGAAACCCGTCTCTACTAAAAATACAAAAAAATTAGCTAGGCATGGTGGTAGGTGCCTGTAGTCCCAGCTACTGGGGAGGCTGAAGCAGGAAAATGGCATGAACCCGGGTGGTGGAGCTTGCAGTGAGCCGAGATCATGTCACTACACTCTAGCCTGGGCGACAGAGCGAGACTACGTCTCAAAAAAAAAAAAAAAAAAAAAAGATGGCAAAAGTTTCAAGGCAACGAGCATCCTAGTACCAGAATGTTCCTTCTAACTCTGGCAGAAGGTGCTTAAATTCCAGTGACAAACACAAGAGATAAAGTATGAGCTACCAGAGATGAAAGTGTCAGCATCAAAACCTGCAGAATAGGATCACTAAGTGACAAGAAGGCACGGTGCCACAGTATAATTAGCAATGTTTTCTTCTTTCTTGGTGACATAAAATAATGTAAGCTTGGACTGACAGCACCTTAGATTCAGTGAAACATGAATATCTATCCCCTGCTTTAAGAGACTCTAACACATAAAAACAAGAGAGACAAGATACATATACTATAAAAAAGCAATACAGGCCAGCTGTGGTAGCTCATGCCTGTAATACCAGTACTTTGGGAAGCTGAGGCAGGCAGATCTCTGGAGTTCAGAAGTTCAAGACCAGCCTGGCCAACACCGTGAAACGCTATCTCTACTAAAAATACAACAATTAGGCCGAGCGTGGTGGCTCATGCCTGTAATCCCAGCACTTTGGGAGGCAAAGGTGGGCAGATCACCTGAGGTTGGGAGTTCGAGACCAGCCTAACCAACATGGAGAAACCCTGTCTCTACTAAAAATACAAAATTAGCCAGGTGTGGTGGTGCATGCCTGTAATCCCAGCTACTCGGGAGGCTGAGGCAGGAGAATCGCTTGAACCCGGGAGGCGGAGATTGCTGTGAGCCAAGATTGTGTTCCAGCCTGAGTGACAAAGAGAGACTCTGTCTCCAAAAAAAAAAAAAAAGAAAAAGCAATACGACAAAAATTCCTTTTTAACACCAAGTTCCCATACATTAATTTTTTTTTTTTTTTTTTTAAGACAGAATCTCATTCTGTCGCCCAGGTCATGGCTCAATGCAGCCTCGACCACCTGGACAACTTCGACCTCCCAGGCTCAAGCAATCCTCCCACTTCTCGTCCCTCCTGAGTAGCTGGGACTACAGGCATGCACCACCACACCTGGTTAATTTTTGTAGTTTTTGTGGAGACAGGGTTTTGCCATATTGCCAAGGATGGTCTTGAACTCCTGGACTAAACTGATGCAACCTCCTCAGCCTCTCAAAGTGCTGGGATTATAGGTGTGGGCCACCACACCCAGCCCTGACTTCTCAACAATGAAACTAAAATGGGGATTTTTTCAAGTAGAAGGCAGTGTCACCCTGAGGTAGAAGCCTGCACTACAGGCAATGACTAGGCTTAGGCTTCCAGCCTGACCTTGCAACCAGCACAAGGGTGCCCCAGCCTTCGTTCTTTAGGCTCACCCGCTGGGCATCCCTCAAGAGGTGCAATTGCCATTTGTGCCTTGAGACTGGCACACAACATGCCTGTGTCTTGAATGGAAACATCCCCTAAAACCACAAGATGTCGACAGCAACCCATATAAGCCTATAGCGACTGCTCTATTTCTTCCAAAATGACAGGTTTCTCCGCATGGCTGGTTGCTAACTGAACCACGTTCAATGCTCACCCTCTCACTCTCTCTCTGCCTAAACCTCTTCATCCTTCCCTATCAAGACATTTGCCAATTTTATCTCACCATCTCTCTCAACTGAGAATAATATTCAGGTAAAATTAGGGCAGGCACAGAGTTTGAGACCAGCCTGGGAAACATAGCAAGATTCTAACTCTGGAAATATTTTTTTTTTAATTAGCTAGGTGTAGTGGCACACCTCTAATCTCAGTTACTCAGGAGACTGAGGTGGGAGAAATCTCTTGAGCCCAGGAGTTCAAGGTTGCAGTGAACTATCATGGCACCACAGCACTCCAGCCTGGGTGACAGGGAAAGACCCTATCTCAAAGAACAACAAAAAAAATTTTCAGGCAAAATTAAAGTCTCTATTGTTTTTTGAATTTGTTAGAGTATTTTTGTTTTCTTTTTTGTTTTTGATGAGACAGAGTCTCACTCTGTCACCCAGGCAGGAGTGCCATGGCACAATCCTGGCTCACTGCAACCTCCACCTCCCAGGTTCAAGCAATTCTCCTGCCTCAGCCTCCCAAGTAACTGGGATTACAGGCGCCCACCACCATATCCAGCTAATTATGTATTTTTAGTAGAGACGAAGTTTCACCATATTGGCTAGGCTGGTCTGAACTCCTGACCTCAAGTGATCCACCCGCCTCGGACTCCCAAAGTGCTGGGATTATAGGCGTGAGCCACTGCGCCTGGACTAGAGTTTTTATGTTTCTTGTGTGTAACTTTAAAGAAAAACAAAGCAGAATATTTTACATTTTTCCCTTTCAAAAATACTTAAATTCATTTTCTCTATAAGGACTTACATCAATTGCTGGAGAATGGGGAAGCCTTGTATTCTTACCAGAAAGAAGTTCCTCAGAAACCTATAAACTGCCATCTTTTAAATAAAGTACTGTAAAAAGAAGCTCTCTAGAAAAGTTATTAAAGAGAGAAATAATTTATGTAAGAAAAACAGCTAAGGCCAGGTGCGGTGGCTCATGCCTGTAATCCCAGTACTTCGGGAGGCCGAGGCGGGCGGATCACGAGGTCAGGAGTTCAAGACCAGCCTGGCCAACAGGCTGAAACCCCATCTCTACTAAAGATACAAAAACTTAGCCAGGGGTGGTAGTGCATGCCTGTAATCCAGCTACTCGGGAGGCTGAGGTAGGAGAATTGCTTGAACCTGGGAGGCGGAGGTTTCAGTGGGCCGAGATCACGCCATTGCACTCCCGCCTGGGCGTGACAGGGTGAGACTCCATCTCAAAAAAACAAAAAAGGAAAGAAAAACAGCTAAAAGCAAAATAGCTAAGTACAATATCAATTAACATTTTAAAAGCTTTCTTAAATAGCAAGTCACAAAAATGCTAACTCATATCAAAGAAAAACAAATGTAACCCCAGGATGCAAGGATGGTAATAAACCACATTAATAGAATGAAGGGAAAAAACATGATCATCTCCACTGATACAGAAAAAGCATTGGACAAATTCAACACTGCTTCGGGACAGTGGTTCCCTAGGGTGTAAGGAGGCAGGGGAGAGGAGAGAGAAGGAGCCCACGAGCAGCTCTAAGTCATTCTGGTGATTCTAGTTTTCCTGCTGGGAGGGGGGGATCATGGATGCTGACTATTATAACTAGGTGGACAGACAGACAGGATGGATAGATGGATATATAAAACAGAACCAGGACCAAGCATAGACTAGTAATGAGAGTGAATTACTCATTACAATCATATCTAGTCCAATTCTAGGTACTTGAGGTCCAAAAGAAAAAGCAATTTTAAGAGCTTAACTAAAGAAACAAACTGCAGATTCAGAATTCTAAAATATGCTGGATTATATCTATAAAGTATAATGGTACTTTAGGTAGAATACACCAAGTTTTAACCCTTTAGGGATATCCTAAGGAAATGGAAATACATCTTTCAACCTTAATCAGAATGTTAAAATAAAAAAGTTTGAGCTAGCTCACCTCTTCTTGAATATACTGTAATAAGAAGGGAGATGCTCTTAAATTGTCAACAGGAATATTGAAGAAGCCCTGAATTTCCTTCTGGTGTAAATCCATAGTAATAAGATGAGTTAGACCTTTGAAAATAAAGCAGACACAAGCAATAAATAGTTTTATTTTCTTTTTTTTTAAGATGGGATCTCACTCTGTTACCCAGGCTGCAGTGCAGTAGCATGATAATAGCTAACTGCAGCCTTGAACTCCCAGGCTCAAGCAATCTTCTCACCTCGGCCTTGAAAGTAGCTGGGAATACAGGTGCATGCCACCACGCCCAGCTAATTCTGTATTTTTAGTAGAGATGGGGTTTCATCATATTGGCCAGGCTGGTCTTGAACTCCTGACCTCAAGTAATCCTCCTGCCTCAGCCTCCCAAAGTGCTGGGAATACAGGCATGAGCCACTGCACCCAGCCTATAAATAGTTTAAAAACAAGTTGCACTGTACGAAATAGGTACTACATAAAATACTATATATAACAAGTTACTATTAAAAAATTGTTCTCTGCGGGGTGCTGTGGCTCACACCTGTAATCCCAGCACTTTGGGAGGGCGAAGCGGGCAGATTACAAGGTCAGGAGTTCAAGACCAGCATGACCAATATGAAGAAATGCTGTCTCTACTAAAAATACAAAAATTAGCTGGGTGTGGTGGCGTGTGCCTATAGTCCCAGCTACTTGGGAGGTTGAGGCAGAAGAATCACTTGAACTCGGGAGGCAGAGGTTGCAGTGGGCCACAATCGTGCCACTGCACTCCAGCCTGGGTGACATAGTGAGACTCTGTCTCAAAAAAAAAAAAAATTGGTCTCATGATCAGGCACCGGCTCACACCTGTAATCCCAGCACTTTGGAAGGCCAAGGCTGACAAACTGCTTGAGCTCAGGAGTTTGAGACCAGCCTGGGCAACATGGCAAAATCCCGTCTCTACAAAAACTACAAAAATTAGCCAGGCATGGTGGTGCACGCCTGTAGTCCCAGCTACTCAGGAGGCTAAGGTGGGAGAATCACTTCAGTCCATAAGGTCAGGGCTGCAAGTGGGCTGAGATCAAGCCACTGCATTCCAGTCTGGGTGATAGAGTGAGACCTTGTCTCAAAAAAAGAAAAAATAAGGCTGGGCACAGTGGTTCACACCTGTAATCCCAGCACTTTGGGAGACTGAGGCGGGTAGATCACCTGAAGTCAGAGTTGGGGATCAGCCTGGCCAACATGGTGAAACCTTGTCTCTACTAAAAATACAAAAATTAGCCAGGCATGGTGGCGTATGCCCATAATGCCAGCTACTCAGGAGGCTGAGGCAGGAGAATCACTTGACTGAGGGGCTGAGGTTGCAGTGAGCCAAGATTGCACCATTTCATTCCAGCCTGGGCGAAAGGGGGAGGCTCGGTCTCAAAAAAA